GATTCTTATCTATATATTGTTATATTCTTACTTATATCTCTATAATCTCCCTTTATGTCTCTTGGCCTTTAAGTCAGTCCCTGGGCAGAATGGCTACAGCTCTTTCCCTGGTCAGGAACAGCTGTACACAATTTTAGAAATTGATTTACATGTACAGAAAGGTCCTTCACGAGAAGCAACCTTTATTGCTGCTTTTATATACCCTTTATTGTACAGCTGTTGTGGTGGATCACTACATCTCTTCTGGCATTCATTATATATTGTCACAAACCCCCCCAAACTAGTGATAATACTCTGCCATTTGCTTGTAAACAGCATGTTCTGGGAGTTTATAAAAATGGTGTAAATGATGCCTTGGAGGGCTAGCTGGTCTGCTGAATTTTTATTAACCAGAATAAAACCAAAGATCACTCTAAGTTGTACTTTGTGTTTATGATTTACAGGTCTGATCTACTTGTCCTTTAATAATACAACTGCTCTAGTTGTGATAAAACAGCCCTATTTCAAGCACAAATAAACACAGAAGAAAGCAGTGCTTGAGAAAAGAGAGCTCATAGAAAAAAAAAAAGTTCTACATTGTCATGGAAAAGTTCAAGTAATATTTAAGGTTGTAGGTCTCATGCTTATCTTTTTTGTTTCCTTCAAGATTAATGGAGTTTGGTAGTGAGAAGAAGAAATGCATTATTGTCATGGAAAAGTTGAAGTAATATTTAAGGTTGTAGGACTTATGGTTATTTTTTTTCCCTTTTTCCTTCAAGATTAATGGAGTTTGGTAGTGAGAAGAAGAAATGCATTTCAGTGTATACAGCAGAGAAATTTTAAGTCTTGGAAGTTGTGCAATGACCAAGTGCAAAGGCCTGAGCTTAAATCGAGCTCCCAAACCAATGGGGAAAGACAAGTGTGTGGCACAGGCCCCAGTTATGCTTCTGGCTGTTTTCCTCCCCCAGTGCTGCTGCTTTTACAGCAATCAGACCAAGGCTGTGCAGCTCTGAGCTGATCTTGCACATGGGAGGGGTGCAGGGTGCAGAGCCTGTCAGAGCACTTCACCTTGGCAAAATGTGATCAGGATGGTGCAGTTTGTTCCTGCAGTTTTTGTGTGGTTCCCCAAGAGCCTGTGCAGCTCTGCCAGCCCTGCTGTTCTAAAGCTGTGCAGGGGCTGCCAGGCAGTTTGTGCTTCCCTGGAAAGCAGCTGTGGGCTATGGAACCACAGGACAAGGTGGCAGCTTTCTTTAGCCCTAGGCCTGCCAAAAGAAAAGAGATCTCACTATTCCAGATGCCTCTGATTACTGGTCTTTTGACCACACATTAGAGGATAATGCTCAGAAAATACATCTAGCAGCCAGCCCTGGGAAAAGGCTTCTAAAACAGGAATAGCAAATCCTTAGAAACTCCAGTACTAAAAGTGGGAATGAGGGTATTCACCAAAGGTCAGATTTTAATGGATGTGAATGTTGTGCTTTGTCTTCTGAACCCCTCAGAAAGTGCCATAGTAGAAAAAAAATTCCTGCTTCTTTCTGAGATGGAGCAACACGAATATGTCAAGTCTCCTACAGCCCCCTGGGATCATCAGCCAGTTCAGAAAGTGCTGAATATAAAAACAAGTGTTTTATTTATAGGAGCCTCAGCTTAATTTTTATTCCAGTATATCAGTGCTGCAAGGTACTCCAGAAGAAGCACCTTGATTTGCTCTAACCTTATTTACACAGAACAAAAATTCCTGGAAAATGCTTTTTTGACAGCTGCACCCAGAGACTGGAAAAGGTGAGTGCAGTAATGTCCCAGCTGGAGGAGCAGAGTATTTCTGTGGGAATGACCTCTGAGGAACATGGAAGGTCTTATCAGCTGTATTGTGCAATCTGAGTTGAGATTTGTGGTAAAGCCTATGGCCACAGTGCTGAGAGGGGCAGGAACTCTGAAAACTTACTGGTTCTTGTCATCAGCTGGTCCAAACTTCAGGCCTGAATTACACCTTACTGCTCAAACGACAGCCTGGAGGGCCAGCCAAATCCAACAACTGTTTTCTGCTTTCCCTTTTACAGTTTTGACGCTTTTTAAAAATTTTTTTCCCCCTTAAAAAATATCTGTTGTAAAAAGAGCTGTGGAACCTTTGTAATCTTTGTCTGACCCTTTCATGTGTGGTAAAAGCCAATACTGCTGAACATTTGATCATAAAATAGTTTTCAAAGTCTCCTTTGGTTATCACACCCTTAGGAGGTGTCCTCTGATAACTTTGTTTTCCAAACTGTCTCCAAAACTCAGCCTCCCAGAGCCTCAGTGAGCTGGAGTTTGGTGCTCAGAGAGCTCTGACAAAGGCACAGCTGGAGCAAGTGTGATAACTACAGCAACACAGCAAGGCACACTGTGGGCCATGGAATGTCATCCTATTGCAGAGTTTAAATTCCTGCTGAAGAGCCACAGCTTCTGTCAACCATGGAGGTTATTTCAGCTTGATGTGATAAAGACATATTTAAAAATCTTTTTGTCCTAACTGGGTATCCTTTGAGGATTTTTTTTTTCCTGTAGTAAAAAGATTTTAAAATGTCTTGGAATCTTTGCTTCCTGTTTTGTCTTGTAAAGTAAGTCTGGGCATAATTAAAGGCATAGTTAACTTTGGCCCTGTTACTACATTTAATAACTTAAAACCCACTATGCTGGTGGAGAACAGTTGTAAACCCAACTCTGCATTCCCCCTTACAAACAAACAGCTCGTTTTTGTTTAAAATGTGTGTGTGCAGCTGTGGAGAGCAGCAACACAGCCCTGTGAGCAGGACAGCTGTTGGCATGGAACCACAGACTGGTTTGGGTTGGAAGGCACCTTAGAGCTCACCTCATTCCATGCCTGCCCTGGCCAGGGACACCTTCCACTAGACCAGGTTGGCTCAAGCCCAACCTGCCCATGAAGGATTTTTTTCTTACTGAGACTTTACTCTTCCCCTTGTCTTCTTGAAACCCAGGATTACCCCTCTGAAACTCCCCACTGCATCAAGCCTGGTCTGTATTTATGTTTATTTTAGCATCCAGTCCTGCAAACACAAAGCCATGGACAACTTTGCACACATAAAGCTGGTCTGAGAGGTATGTTAGCAAACTCACAGCATTTCCCATTGAGTGGCTTGTCTGTTAAGTATTTATCTCACTCTGTGCCACATTGGACATTTTAGATCTAAATTGTCTTAAACAAAAATCGCCATTTCAAAGGTAGGACCTCGACTTTTCCCTGTCAGGACAAAGTATGTTGGTTATTTTTAATAATACAAACCTATCTCATGACTTTTGAGCTCTGTTAATTGCGTGGTTTCAAAGCAACACCTCCTGGCGAGCCGTGGTATTGCTTGTGCAGGAAGAGACCTTCCTTGTGGGATGACACACACAAAGCAGGAATGCTGTGCAGTGACAGAGCCACAGGATGGTTCGAGCTGGAAGGGACCCCAAAGCCCATCTCATTCCAACCCCCCTGCCATGGGCAGGGACACTTTCCTCTAGCCCAGCCAGCTCCATGCCCCATCCAACCTGATCTTGGACATTTCCAGAGATGGGGCAGCCACAGCTTCTCTGAGAAACTGTTCCCAGACTCTCAGTGACCTGCAGCAAAAACCTTTCCTTGCTTAGTGTGCAAACCAGGGTGTGATGGATGTGGCTGTTCCAGCTTCCGCTGGGGGAGAAATAAAAGTTGGGAGCATGATCCAGAATTCTTTATAATGAGAGCACACATAAGCACTTAGTGCTGTCTGACAGGTATTGCTGTGTTTTTCCTTTTTGTGTGTGTTTATATCACAGGTGCTGGTTTACATTGGACAATGTCACCACAAACTCTGCAGGATTTTTCCATAAAGGAGCAAAGCCAGCAAAAGATACTTGCTGTTGTGCCTATAAATGGTGAATGGATGTTAGTGCCCATCTTTGCCCTATTAATTTCCTCTCTTTTCCCTATCCCACCATAAAACTGTCTATTTAAGCAAAAAATAAAAGTATGAAGGGAAATTCAGAGCGGTTTCAGAAAAATTCCTTAGTGCTCCAAGGATCCCACTCCCTGAGTGCTAAATCAACATGGGTTTCCTTAGGAGCAACCCACACAAGTGGCTGTGGAGGGGTATTTCTGGAAGGAGACAGTAACATTGTCAATGGAGGGGTCAAAAAAGATACATGTAATCAATATGTTTTTCTGTACTCCTCTCCAGATTCGTTGATGTAGCACTAAAGAAACTTTTGTGTCCAGCAGTAAACTACAGTGTTAAAAGTGCTGGTCAAAGCTTGGCATCTTAATATCTACTTTGGCCAGGCAAGGCTGCAACCGGGTGGTGAGAGAACCGGCAGGTAATATTAGAATACTGCGGCTGCTATCACCAAGTACTGAAAAACAGGGTAAACCTCAGATACCGAGTCGTAGTTTGGGCGCTCTTATCGCACTCAGCCACGAGTCCGGCGCTGGTCTGTCCGTGCCGGCCCACGCAGGTGATGCTGTCACAACTCCCGGCAGCCTGCCGGGGCCCGATGGGATTCCTGCACACATCCCGCCCGGCCCAGGGCTCATCGGGAGCACCTGAGGACGGCTCGAGGTGCCGGCCTCGACCAGCCAGCCCCTCAGGGGCACGGCCCGAGGCGCTGCGGCCCCGGCCGTTCGCGCTGTGCCGGCCCCTCACGGGCACGGCCCGAGCCCGCCTCAGCCTTCCCGCCCAAAACCCGCCCGCGCGCCGCCGCAGGCCACGCCCACGCCGCATTAGACCACGCCCATGCAGTGCTCGATCGCGGACACCCCAGCCCTCAGACCCCGCCCACTGCCCTCATACCCCCCCGCCCATCTCCCAAGACCCCGCCCACGCCCCGACGCACTCGCGCTCCATCAGACCACGCCCACACGCCTTAAACCCCGCCCACGCCCCTCAGACCCCTCCTGTGCTCCTGCAGCTCTCGGCCACGCCCCGTCACCCCACCCACACCCCTCAGGCCCCGCCCCCACGCTCGGGCCCCGCCCCCGGTTTAAAGCCCAGCCGCAGCCGGCGCGCTGCCGGAGGTGACGTTCGGGTCCGGCGCGGGGCGGAGCCGGCCGGGACGCGGAGCTGCGGGAGCGGGCTGCGCAGGGAGCCGGGAGCGCGGCGTACCGGGAGCGCGGGGTACGGGCTGCGCCGGGAACGGGGAGCGCGGGGTACGGGCTGTGCCGGGAGCGGGGAGCTCGGGGTACGGGCTGCGCCGGGAACGGAGGGCGCAGAGAGCGCGATGCTTAGGGAGCAGTGTCCGGGTGAGGGAGCGCTGAGGGAATGATGTGCCCCGGGAACGCGGTGCTCGGGGGTACGGGGTGCGCAGGGAATGCGGTGTGCAGGTGACCGGAGTGCTCAGGGAATGAGGGCCCTCAGGGAATGGGGTGCTGAGGGACACGGGGTGCTCCGGGAATGGGGTGCTGAGGGAATGAGGGTGCTGAAGGACACGGGTTCCTCAGGGAATGGGAGTGCTGAAGGACGCGGGTTCCTCGGGGAATGGGGTGCCCGGCTTTCGGGGTGCTCAGAAAGCTGCGCTCCTGTTGGCAGGCGCGCAGCTCTCACGCTTGTATATTTGATATTAAAAAAAGGGACTTTTTCCAGTGTAAGGGAGGGTCAGAGCGGCTGCGAGGTGCTGGCGTGGCTGCTGAGAGGCAGGTGAGCAGTCCCAGGGAGTTCTCGCTGCTTTCCGGGCAGCAGGAAGCGCTTCAGCCACTCGCCAGACAACCTGGAGCAAATCCCGCCCGAGCTAAGCCTGTGCTGTCTGTCCTCATCTTGTCTGGGGGCTGTTGACAACAACAAAGCACAGGCTCCAATGGTTTTGTGGCCTCTCCAGTAAAAAAAAAAAAAAAAAAAAAAAAGCGTAGGAGTTTTGATGCTTCTCTCACCTGGCAGAAGTTTGGGAGAGTGGATGGGATGAGTTCAGTGCATGCTTCACTTTTGTGGCTTGTCCAGAGAAGTGCAGCTCTTAAATTCATGAGGGAAGGCAGGAACTGTAGTGCCAGGACAAGGGGAATGGCTTCTCAGTGCCAGAGGGCAGGGTTTGATGGAATATTGGGAAGGAATTCCTCCCTGTGAGGGTGATGAGGCCCTGGCACAGGTTGCCCAGAGCAGTTGTGGATACCCCATCCCTGGAAGTGTCCAAGGCCGGGTTGGATGGGGCTTAGAGCAATCTGGGACAGTGGAAAGTGTCCCTACCCATGCCTGGGGCTGGAATGAGGTGAGCTTTAAAAACCCTTCCAATCCAAACCATTCCTCATTTCTCCTTGTAAGGAAGGGCACTGCCCTGGGCACAATCTTGTACTGTGCCACATTTTTGCTAAATGGATGGCAATCGGGTGTAACACCTGCAGGTGTAGTGCAATGGAAATAAAACCTTTAGATTAAACAGACAGGAACCTGCCTCCTCTCGCCTTTGAGTTCTGGGGGAATTTTGCTGCTGGAAAGTGCTGAGACCTTGCTGTGACTTCACTTGCAGTTGTTCTTTTAACCTGTAGTTTTACTGCTTCAGGGGTAGGTTGCTCTTACTTTACTGATCTCATTCTTGAAGCAGAGCAGAAAGATAAAGGTAAATACTTTCTGCATTCACTCCAAGATGGAGTGGAGTCGTGATCTGATTGCTCCAAGGGGGCGTTTGAGGTGTGAAAGCTTGCATTTTTGTGGTAACTGCATGGATCTGGAAGCATGGAATTTGAGGAACAGGTTTGATATTCTATTACTGCTGGAAAGGGGAGCCCTGTGCACCTCTTTTCCATCCCTCTGCTTGTCTGTTTTCCTTGCTCCTCAAGTGCAGGTGTGAGTGGTGGGCTGGATTCACCTGCCAAACCCAGTGGCAATTAGCACCACATGGAAATTGATTCCATGGAGCTGTGTGTCTGTGCATCCAACAGGGACAGGCAGCCCACCCGTTAGGCAGTGACCGGGATCAAAACCAGTGGAGCTGCTCCTGGAAGTGTTCCCTGAGGCTACACTTTGCTGGACAGTCCTGGTGATTGTGATTTGGCTTTTTGGTGGTGTTTGTTGTTTTGTTTTGGATTTTTTTGGGTTGAAAGCTGTGCATTACTCCTTATTTCCAGATGTTCCTAATATCCTCAGCCTCTTTCTTCCACTCTTTCCCAGCAGAAATATTTTTGTACCCTGACAAAGTTTCCCTTTGGACGCTGACCCAACTGGTGCCTGTGAAGGGTTAGAAATACAGGACTGGGGCATTTTTGGAATGCTGTCTGTGGTGATTTTCACCCATAATTCCACAGGAATCGTTGCTACAACAGATGTTCTGGTTTAGAGAACAAAAACAGTTTTTGCTAAATGTAAAGGTGGGAGTGCTAACAACAAATAAAGAAATCACAGGGAACAGGTGGATAAAGAATTGAAACAGATGTAGGAAAGAAGGAATTACTCTCAGCTGCTCGCTTTTGGCCTGAATTGTATGTTAACAGCTGTTTCTCACAGCAGAAAGCTCTCAAAAAATAAAAGGTGAGACTGTTGTCAAAAATTTATATCAGGTGCATGCAGAGAATTTTTTTAAATATAAGCAGTTTTCTTACCCTCACTAAGACTAGGAACAATTAACCTGGAAAAAATCACTTTTGTTTATTGTGTTGTTTTAAAGTCTGTGTTAGTACAGCAGATCATAATTAGTGGAGAATAAATGCTTCTCCTTGTAATGTGCAAGACATGTATAAGCCTTTGTGACATAGATTAGTGGCTTAATTGCAATGTTAAAATACTACTTCTGGGACAAATGCTGAATTTCCAGACCTTGGTGTGGTTTGCTTTTAAATGCTTTTTGCTGTGTGGCTCTTGCCCCTGCCTTGAACCTGCCCTGCAGTGTACACCTCCCATTGTTTAGATCTCCTTGCCTGGAAGCATTTTCCTTTAGCTCCCTTATTAAAATTACTTATGCTGACTCTAACTACTGCCCCTGTAGAATTTTTCTTCACAAGTTCTCATGAAGAAGATAATTTTATTTTTTTTTTGTTAGAAATGGCAGCATAAGCTTTAATAAATGACTGTATCCAATATTCCAGGTGGGTCTCAGCAGTGCAGAGCTCAAGTTAAATATTGACTTGTGTAGAACTTTGGTCTTGAGCAATCCCTGCAGAAACTGCAGGCGGGAGAAAGGTGTTGTGGCAAAGATAATCACCTTAAACCACCCCCTGCCAAACTGAAGCCAGTCTGGCTGTGGGGAGTGGTCCCAGAGGAGGCTCAGAAACCCCCCACAGTGTCCCCATGTCGTGAGGGGACAGCCACAGCTGTACCTGGTGGTGGTGACAGCCCAGGGTGTCTCTCTGGAGTCAAATGACCGGAATTTGGGGTGTCCTGGTGGTGCCACGTCTGGCGGTCTGTTCTAATCTTGCTCTTATTTGTATTTATCCATCCCTTGAGCTGGAGGGAATATTGTGTGCCAGGAGCCCAGCTGGTAGGTCGTCTCTGCTCTGGGACCATGGCTCCTACTACAGAAGGCTCTTTGTGCTTTATAGACACGTGATCCCTAGAAAAAAATAAACATTTCTCATTCCTGCAGAGATTTGCCCTCAGATATGAACTAAGCAATAACTGTTTCAGCACTTTCAGCCTGCCCCATCCATCTTTCCTTGTCTTGTGGGCTTTTTTACAAAGTCTAAAATCTGCTTGCTGAACTTCATTGGAAATAGAATTCCTCTGGGACTGACAAGATAAATTTCGTTCTTGGTGATGTGGCATGTATCGTTCTTGACTGCTTTGCTGTGGGGAGCTCAGAAAGTGACACAGAGCTGTATATTAAAGAAAACTAATTTTTCTCTAGCTACGAGGCTTTATAAGAGGTGGTAGGCATCTTAGATTTTATTTGCTTGTGGGGAACAGGAATTTCAAACTAATCAGAAGGTTTTAGCAAAAAAAGAACATCCAGTCATCTATGGTGCTTTAGGTAAAAGAATTTTGCCATCCTTTAATAGTAAAATATTTTGAGTTGTTTATACCTGGGGGAATAAGTTATTTTATATCTGTGGTAGGTCTGTTTTCTGTCAGAATCTGGTTCTAGGAAGATTTTCCTCCTGTGTTATTGGAAGAAGGTTGGGTATGTCAAGTGCCAACTTTGTTTACTATAAACTGAGGTTTCGATGAAGAAACACTTTGCTTTAGATGCAGGATTGGATTGATGACTCCTGCTTTTTAACTTTATATTTTTGAAACCATTTCCTTAAGTGCGACGGGTGTGAACTGAGGAACCTGTAGAGTAAAAGGTGGCTCGAATTTTTAGCATTCCTGTCAACTTTCTCCACTTGGTGAATGCAGCCTAGCAGCGTGACTCAGTGTCAGGTGTGTGCCACGGATGTGTGCCTGTCTGCTGTGGCTGAGGTCAAGGTTTAGGCTGAGCTCCAGATGGTGGCCAGGGGATTACTTTGAGAGCTAATTACAAGGCTTCTTTGTGTAAGTCTGAATAGTTACATCACAAAGATATTCTTTAATGATTCATCAGGCGGTTTAGTGGGGGAATATCCCACAAGTTTTTAACTTTCTGATGAGGTGTGTTTTGCCCTTAGCCTGCCTGGCTCGTGTTGAGCATACCCCAGCACTTGCAGGCTGTTTTAATGGGCATTCACTTGCTGACTCTGCCATGGGATCTCTGGCATCTCTGAACTCTGGATGTCTCTTTTTCTCTGCATGTGTGGCCTACATTTCTCCTCGCATGCACCTCTGGAGCAGGCGAGCTGCTGTGGTGTTAACAAAGGCCTCTGTCTGTGGTTTATTCACTCCTTGAGTGAGCAGAGGCTATTTTTGGAGTTCCCTCAGGGAGAAGGTGGTCAGGAATCCAACCTTGGAGCTGAGCAGAGGGGAGTGCAGCAGTGTCAGCTTTGGTCACTGTGCTGGGTCAGCTGCTGCTGGTGGTTCTGTCACAGAGGATCCTGTCTCCTGCAGAAGGGTGGTAGCGAGGTCACCCGAAAGCAGAGTGCTGAGAAAACGTTCATTTTACTCCCTTGGTTTGTTGCTGTTGCCAGGAAACACCTTGTCCACATTTCAGAGACGTGTGAGTTTTGGTTGCTTCTATCTTAGCTCAGCAGATTTGCCCTACAACTCACGGATAGAGGGCATTGTCCCCAGCATCCATATCTCCAGATCAGTGTGCCAGCCTGTCTTGTGAGGTTCCATTGTCACTCTTAGCTGGTGCCACTACAGTTGTGACCTCTGGCCTGTGGCAGGATGGCTCAGTGCTAAGGGGGATGAAATTTCCTTGCAATGTTATCCTTCCCTGTGTCTGGGCTACTCAGGTATCCCTCCAAGAGGAGTTTCCCACTGATGCTGTGTACCCAGTGCTGCTGCTGCCTTCAGGTCAGTCTGACACCTCCATGTTGGTGGAGGAAACAGAATGCTGGGCTCTCATGCTGCTGGTGCCATGGACCTCAGCAGGTGGCAGATGAATGGCTGAGTTTTCATAGAATCATGTTTTCTACCTGTTTTCCTCAGAACCTGGACACTAAAGTTCACCATGTTGCTTGGTGGCACTGGGACACTACTTTGGGAATAAGAATGTTTAGCTATAGGGTTGCTGGAAGGACTCCTGTGTCCCTGGGCACAGGTCAGTGTGTCATATACCTGACACAGAGCACTGTGGCCTTCCTGGTTCCCTTACAAACAGAGCTCTTCTTTAATGGGTTATTTACACTCCCCAAGGCACAGTGTCCTGTAGTTTCAGTGTGCTTGTCTGTCTGTACTGGGAGAAAATACTGATGCTGGTTAACTGATGTAGTGTGTTCTCATGGGTAGAGCTTCCTCCTGCAGCCTGGTGGGCAGAACAAGGGTGCTGGCTGTAAGCTACAAGTATCATTTTTGTGTTCAGTCATCCATTGCATGTTTCTGTGGGCAGGAGCTCTCTGGGCAGAGATAATAATCCAAACTGTTGATGTGCTTTCTGTAGTGCAGTCATGTTGAGGAGCTCAGTGGACTGACCAGGTGGGCAGTTGACAGAGCACATACCTGTGTAGAAGCCTGCTAGTGCTCAGAGCCTTAGGGAATGTTTGCACAGTCATTTGTCCCTGTGTCTAGGGCCAGAGTGTACCATCTGCAACAGAAAGTCATCATGATGTCTCTTGAGAGGTAAAAGGATTTGTATGGGTTTTCCTGTGCTTTGTCAGAAAAGCTGGCTGCTTTTTTGTGTTTCTGAACACACTGAAGCAGCAAAGATCAGTCCCCGGTGAGCAGGACCCTTTTCAGACTACCTTGAAGTCCCTCTTTGCCTTAATTTCCAAAATAATTCTGTTCTCCTTTAAAAAACCAAACCTAAGCCCTGGCTTCCTGGTTCGTGCAGTGGGAGGCTATTGTGTGCCTGACCTCAACCTGGCTGCTGCTCAAGGTTCTGCAACATGTGATGCCTGGTGTTGCATCAGGTGATGGATGGGGGATTTTCTTGATCCCTTTTGGCCAAGGCATCCTTGAACCTTCTATTTTGAGAGGCCCATATGGTTGCAGGACTGAAGGAAACACAAACTTTAGTGTTGGATCTCATGTGCTGGTTCTGGGAAGCTGGTGACAATTACAAGAGCCCTCGCTTCTGCAGACTGTCACTGGAACCAGGAAAGATGGTGGTCATGAACCTGCTCAGCCTCTTTGAGCAGGTTCTTGACCAAAAAATTCAATGTACTCAGTGTTTTCTTTGGAGGTCACTTCATACTCCTTCAATTCCCTTCTTCCCCTGTAAGTCATGCTTTTTCCAGGGCTGTTCCCCAAGATTTCATTTCTTGCTTTTTGCTGAAACCTCGCATCTCCAAGAAGGTGGTGCTAGACCACACTTATTTTTCCATAATTAGAGGATTAAATCTTCCAGACATTCTTTGAAGCCACTGAGAGAGCAAGGCTATTGCCAGTCACCTGGATGTGCATTAGGGACTCTTAGGAGCTTGTTTATTCTCTGTGTGATGAGTGATATTTCTTGTCCTCCTTTCTCTCGGGCTAGCTCAGATTATGCTGATAGCATTAGTAAAGAACCATTCCAAGTCTGATGTCACTCTACAGCAAAACCTGGGAGGTTTGTTGAGACACTCACCAGGCACTGGGACTTTGCAGAGTAACCCACGCATGAAACTGCATTTTGTGGAGCAAAATGCACTGAGAGTAGTGAGGGACTGATGCTTGTGCTTGAGAAAGCTGAAAGGAGCTGCAAGCAGAGCTCTACACACACCTGCATGTGTGGAGTCACCTAAGTTCAGGAGAGCAGCTTTTTAAGCATTTTTCTTTAATCCCTGTTGTCTGTATGACACTCTGCTCTTCCTTTGTAGTTCTTCCAGCAGCAAGTTGACAAGGACTGTGAACTTGGGATATGTGTGTAAAACCTCTATACCTGTGAGCTTGCAAAGAGGCATGGGACTTGTCCTGCAGATATTCCCAGAAGGAGAAAAACCCTTGGGGATACTTTGCATCTCCAGCAGTGAAGTGTGAAAGTGGAAATGGACAGTAGATACTGAGCTGTAATTATTGGGAAGCAGGAGTCTTTTCTAGGTTAGTGGGAACGTTCAGAGTGTGACCTGAGTAATCTGAAAGAGTTGAAAGGTTTTACTGCCTTGAGCAACTTTGTGTCTCTTTGACAGATGCTTCCAAAAGGAACAACATTGATAACGGGAACTGCGGGATGCGCCACGCTGAAATTTTATCTGCCTAAGTAGCTGCTAGTCCAATTCCATTAATGTTTGCATATTTAATAAACTTCTAATGTGGGATTTTAATGAGTTGGCAGTTATCTCTGAACACCCAGCAGCAGTCTCAGAGTTTAGGTGGCTCTCAAATGGAGATTTCTCTCACTTAGAAGGCATGTGGCCTTTCCTTGGGCAGTCAGCACTTGGCAGGCTCTGGAATACTTTGATTTGGTCTGTATTGATGTACATCAACAGTGAATTTTTAATTTGGATGGAGCCCTAGGGTTAAGTTTTTAGGGGAGGCATCATTTTAGAAAGCTGGATGTAAGAGAAGTGACCTTGGTTAATCTCATAACACACCATTTAGCTACTCAGGATGTTTCTTGCTAGTGATCTAATTATTTTGGCTGTGAAATGGGATTGTCAGGGAAATTGCTTCTAATGTGGCATTTACTCATTTACACTCCCAGTGCTTTTGCTTTGCCTTTTCAGCCTAATTTTGCAAACACGTCCAATTCCTCCTAGTCCCAAGCAGGGTGAGAAATGCCCTGGTGGTGCTGCACAGTTGATGTCTATGCCTTTGCCTTTTCAGCCTAATTTTCCAAACATATGTCCAACTCCTCCTAGTCCCAAGCAGGGTAAGAAGTGCCCTGGTGGTGCTGCACAGTTGATGTCTATGGTGAGGAGAAGGAAGGTAATCTGTTATTGAGGGAATTGGAGCAAAATTCAGCAGAACAGTTCCATGTTTATGCTTTGGAGATAAACCTGAGTTTAGTAAATGTATGTCAATATATCAAATGTAGCAGGCAAGGTGAAAAGGGACTTTTGATAACACAATGTAATTCTCAGTTCTGGCACCAGCATAACTTTAAGTAAGTCCCTTGCTTGTTCCCAATCTTCAGGATGAATTCTCAGTGTGCTGCTGTGGATGGTGGTTCTGTAAGCTGTGAAGGTGGCAAGGGTGAGGAAATAATTCCTTACAGCCTCCTTTAAGATAAGACAACAGTAATTCAGTGATGCAGATCATCAGATGGGTTTCAGGTGACCTTTCAATGGGCTTGGTAAAAAGCAGGAAAAATTGAATGTTTATCTGAGCTGTATTTTAAATTGAAGTTCTTTTTATATCTCCAGAACACCATTTTGGGAGGAACAGCAAAGAGAGTTAAGGACAAAAACTGATGGACCGTTACATCTTCCAAAATGAGCCATTTCACACTTTCCTACTGGAAAATAACATGTCCTGAAGGTGAGTAGGTTTTGTATGTGACAGATGAGTTGCCTGATGTCTTGGGCCTTGACCAAAGGCAGATCCACCCTCATTCCAGCTTGCCCTGACACTGCCTGTCTGCACAACCCATAGAAACTTGCTTGTGAAAATGTGTATTTTATCACCAGGAGAAACAGGGAAGAAGCAAGGAATATTTTCCACTAGTGAATTATCATTGATTTAGAAGCCTTTGAAAAAGCTGGAGTGCTTAGTCAAAGAGGTGAGGCATTGGGGGCACGGATATTTTCTGGTGAGTGGAGAAAATGTAGGTGTTTTATTTGCAGCATGAGAAAGTTCAGCTTGTAAGACAAACTTTGGTGTAGTTTGGCAAGGGTATTAAATTACATAAGGCATTTTCAAGTTTTATTCCAGCTGTACCTCAAGTGATATTTTCAATGTTAAGAAGAGCTGAAGAGTGCTTGCTATCAAAGATGATAAAGTAATTTCCCCAAAGTAAAGAACATAATGCTTGAATGAAATTAAATCAGAATTGTATTTTGTACAGTTTGTGATATCTTTTATGTTATTTTTGTACTCAGCCCCTTAGGGCTGTAGGCAGTGACCGTACAGTTTTGTTTTAAAATCCTTTAGCAACAGAAATCAAAATGGGAAGTGTTACATAAGTCCTGCACTCAACATTGAAATAAAACCAGCATTTCTGAGACAGTTAAGGTTTAAAATATCTTGGTTTAGACTTTACTCTCACTTTAATAAATAACATATAAAAACAAGCCATGAGCTATGTAGGCCTAAGTATGCCCACTTAGCAGCATTAATTCTTATTTTTTTAAATTAGGCTAATACATTTGCCTTTCTGATCGCTGCTACTTTGTTAATATTTTTGTTTTTCTGTTTTTTTGGCATGAGTCAACTAGCAGCTCTGAACTCAAAGACAATAGTGGAGTGCAAAGGGTGAAAAATAGGTGGTGTCAGTTGTCATTCTGCCTGCACAGAAATTGCTTGAAAATGTTCAGCACTGGTGTCACAGGTGTTTTGTACATAAATGTTTTTCCAAGTGAGGTAAAAATCCCAGTAGAAGTTCAGCCTAGAGTGAACTGTTCATGTGCTTTTATAGATTTGAAGCTCATTAGACATGTGAGTTCCTTGAACATTTGTATATTTGGTAGCAGGAGAGCCTCTCAGGAATGTAGGACTTGACAGGTACAAGAGGATGCAGTGTCAGGGATTTTACTTGTTGAGGAAGAAAAGTCTTGTAGCTGGAGAGAAAAATACTGTTGACATTCATTGGTGCTCTTTGGTGTCTGCTGTGATCTGCACAGTTCTGCATAAAAGGATGGAAGCCCCAAAGCAAAAGGTGTGACTGAGCTCTAAAAGCTCTCTTGTCTTTCCTAAGTGCTTGTGTTTTCCAAGTGTCCTCTTCAGCTGTTGTCTGTGAACTTTTTGCCAAAAACCCTGTAAAGCTAGGGAATCTCACTGGGGGTACCCTTTCTGGTGTAGTCTGTGTTTTGCTGTTGTATGGATGAGCAGTAGAACTTCCTCTGCCTTTTGCTTTCTCCTTTCCCAGTCTGTAAAAATTGTGACTTTACACTGTGGAGAAGGATTGTGCAACAGAGTGAAGAGTGAAAAGAGGATATTTTTTGCTGTTCTAAGGCTTCTTTGTTCTCGGAGGTCAGGAGCAGCTGAGCTCCAGTGATTTCATACACTCTCCTATTACCTGTTCTCATGCTGGCCATAAGCCTAAAGGGACAGATCCTCCTCTGGATGAGTCATTAAGTAAATACCAGGCTGTGCTGGTATTCCTGCTCTGAGTACTTGTTCTTATTTCTTGTGTGTTGTTTACTCGCTGTTTTCTTAGCTGCTATCACAACCCCAGCAGATTCTGTCAGCACAGGGACTTCTCACGGTGTGCAGCTGGGGAGAGGCACCTGCACTGGAGCCAGGAGCTGTTCCAGCCTTGTTCCAGGAGGGATTTTCAATAGTAGCTGGGAAGTACTTGGAGATATTTCCAGTAAAACAGTTCTGGTTCTTGGCTCTTGATCGCAGGCACCTTGCCAGGTGCTGCTGGCTGCATCCCTCCTGCAGGACAGGGCATGGGAAGGAAGTGCATCCCATGGGGGCACTGGAGCACGCAGTGTTCAGAGCTGTCACTGGAACCTTCAGTTTGTTCCTGCTGGGCTGCTGCAGGGAGAGCTGGAGCTCTGGGAGCTGTGCTTCTCCAGCAGCTGCTGCAGCCAGAGTTGGCTCAGGAATGATTGTAGAATCCTAGCACCATGAAGTGGTTTGTGTTGGAAGGGACCTTGAAGCTCATCCAGTTCCACCCCCCTGCCAGTCACTAGATCAGGTTGCTCAGGGCTCCATCCAGCCTGACCTTGAACAATTGCAGGGGTGTGGAAGCCACAACCTCTCTGGGTAACATATGATGACATGGTGCATCTCCTGGAGGAGATTTGCAGCTTCCATGGGGACAGGATGCTTCAAGTGTTTGTGCTCACTGGGAAGCTCTGCTGGCAAGGGACAAGGGCATGTTATCCACTGGCCCACCCATGCACCATAAGAGTGACTTGCAGTGTGCACACATTCTGATATTGGATAACCCCTGGGTTTTGTCTGGAGTCTGGATTTGTGTCTGTTTTTCATGTGGAGATTCACCTGTATCAAGCTTCTATCCTAACTATAAAACCTTGAATAGGTGTAGAGGTTCCTGGGGGTTCCCTCCTTGCCTGTCTGCTCCAGTATGTCATCACTAATGGCCTTATGGGATTTGAAAATGCCTTGGTGTTTGTGGATGAAATTCTTGTCTCATTAGGACAAAAATATGCCATCAATTTAACCTGCATCCTGACAAAATATGGACAGTTTGAACCTGGGGCAAGAACTGGATGATGCTGCCCAGCCAGAATCAGTTACCATCCTTATTTTCTCTGAGGGAGAGAATGTTTACAGTGCTGTGTGGCTGAGGCTGTTCTGGGGGAGCTGACCAGGGCATTGGAGGTCAGAGCTGTGAGGCAGAGCTGCATCAACTTCTATTTACGTCTTTATTTTACTGATACTTCCTTTAGGGCTTTGCTTATTCCCTTCTGCCAGGGGAAGCCCTCCCAGCCACCTCCAAAGACACTTCAAGAAGTCCATCTCAAGGTGTGGTTCTCTCCCTTTCCTGGGGATCCTGAGGTTTCCATGTTATAAACTGCAAGCCCAGTAGGTGCTGCTGAGCTGTGGCACAGGCAGTGTGAGCAGCCTGGGACACACCAGGTTTCCTATAGGAAGACCCATAAGGTTCATCCCCACATTGAATTTACAGCCAGTGTTGCAGCAGTGAATTTGACTTGGCTGCTGGATGCACGTGGCCTCTCTGGGGTGTTTCAGCTGCTGTGCTGGGAACCATTTGTTTTGCTTTAACTGGATGTGAAATATCACCACTGTGGCCTGATAGATCCCCTAAATGGCACAGTGTACAGTCAGCATCAGCCTGGGGTGAGCTGTTTGCCCACTGCACTGGAATTAACTTGCCCTGAACAAAACTTCAGGAATTCCTGGTCTGGGACCTTTCTGTGCCAGGAGTTGTCTGCAGCCCAGTTTAGTTAGAAAGTGTCAAGACTAAAACCACTGCACATCTTTCTTTTATTAAGATCTGCTGTTAAGAAAATAATTTTTGCTAAGCAGAGAACTTTGGGCTGACATTTAATGAAGGGAATAAACTGTAAAAACCTGTAATCACATTGGAGGGAAAAGGAGCCATTGTTTCAGCTTCCCATGGTGGTTTTTCTAGCTGCCTGAGTAAAACAATTCTCTTTTCAAGAGCTATTTTTCCTACATTTAAATATTGGGTGGATGCATTTAAAAATGTTTGGTTATGTTCTAATCGTGTGTAACTTTTGGATACTGATTAGTGGATACAGGTGCAGCAATAAAGAAGCTGTAAATTTGCCAGGTAGCATTGCTTGTTGCAGGTCCCCCTTATCAAATGAGATTATATTGTTTCTCAAGAACGTTGCACTTGCCATCTTGAAGCAGAATTATATTTCTGTTAAAATAATGTTTGCTTAGTGCTTCCAGGTAAAGGAGAATTCAGCATTACTGATAAGGACCACAATGAACTTTTATTTAATTCATTAATCATTTGGCTTGGTCTATATTCTCTGGTGCCTGAGCATTGCATATCCTGCTATTTTGGAGTGGCTGTGTTCAGAAAGCTGCTCGGTTTTTTGTATTCTGATGTCTTGTTACCACAATTTTTTTTTTTGCACTGAAATCTAACCACTATCTTTGAGAGGATGCATCTTTTTTAAACTCTACTTTAATCTCTGGTTTTCTTTTTTTGGTTTACACAACTATGATAAAAGCATCCAGTTTATGCTGGGGTCAATTTGATTATAATAAATTCCTTCTCTCCTTCCTTAAGCCCCAGTGCAAATGAAGAAAGCTGAATTTGCTGTCTGTTCTTCATGCCTTTTTGTCCAGTGCAGAAGAAAATTAAGCTGTTTTGACCTTTCTTTGACACTTGTAGTCAGCGAAGATGAGTGCAAAGGCTTTGTAAAAGTAAATGAAGTCAGTATTGTTTTCTTCTAAAATTGTTGTCAATGCACTCTGGTGTGCTCCATTAAAGTCCCAGCCTGTGAAGGCAAGTGCAGGCAATCTCAGCTGCTGTTTCATCCCCCTTCAGGGGTTTGTTCATCTGTGAAGTGCCCTGTGGCAGAGGTTTGAGGTGCTGGCTCCGAGTGGGTGCCACACACCCCTGGTGAGCTCTGTCCTGCCTTTCTCCTGGCATTGCTGGTGCTGCCAGAGCATCACCTGGGTGGAGTCTGGGCAGGGCTGGCTGAAATCAGGGGCCCTGCCACTGGTACATGGCATGGAGCAGAAAAAGGGCTCACAAGAAACTGGATGGTTTCATGGAATCCCAGAATGGTTTGAGTTGGAAGGAACTTTAAAAATCATCTCATTCCACCCCCTGCCATGGACAGGGACACCTTCCACTATCCCAGGTTGCTCCAAGCCTTGTCCATGCTGGCCTTGGACACTTC